GGGTGCTAGAGTGGAGCAATTAGGGTTGAGGAGGATTGGAGTTCAGAATGGGCAACCCGCCAGCCATGGCAGCTGGGACAAAGCCCTCAGAGTGCTAATTCACTTCCTATTTACTCTGCCAGGCGGACACCTAGGAGAGCAATGCCAAAGTAATGTGAAGTCAGTCATTTAGTAGATGTCAGAAGGTGACTCAGCCCATATAAGTCCAAAATTAATTCCTTGTAATTGTCATTGGGAGTAACTACCTTGCTTTGCTTCCCCTTTCTTATCTGGACTGATTGCAACTTAGTATAATCAGCTGTTGTTGCCAGAGGTTTGTTTCCTCCCCTCCCCTTTTTTTCTTTCTCTCAACATCAAGCCACATAGCCCTTCATTTGCCTTTCAATGTTCCAGGTGGGATTAATTTTACTCCCATCTTATCCCATTAAGCCAGCCTGATCTGCTACACAATGACCCTCAAGAAAGAGAAAGAGCTTGGAATCAACTGGAATCCTAGGCAGGTTACTACTAATGAGAATGTTGGACCTTTTCATGTATGAGGAGCCCGTGTGGCAGCTGCCAATAAGAACACAACTTGCTGAATATGCTGTGACTCAGTAAAAGCACAGAAGGGCAAAAATCTTACTTTTTGTATCTCGAGTTTTCACGTACACAGACAACTTTCTGGTTCTTAAAGTTGCAAAGATAGACTTGAAATCATGTGAGTCCTTGAAACAAAATTACCGTGATTATAGGAACTGGGAATTTCAGGATGCTATATAGCTCTGCACTCTTCCCCATGAACAGCAAAACCAGAAAACCTATGTAAAATAACAATATCCCTGAATAAATCATACAACACACGACCACACAAACATGGTTAATTTGCATGATTTACATAGGTCACTATCTTTGGATTCTGTTGTGCAGAATTTTTCATTTCATTAATGCACAGTGCTCCAAAACCAGATTCAAAATCCTGTCTTCTCTATATAATAGGCATGGAATATATATGCTGAGAAACTATCGGTTTTCTGACTTCCTACTCATATCACCTGTGATAATCTGCAAAAGAAGTTCACTATAAACCTAAGAAAAAGCCACCTGGCTTTCAGTGGTCAACATGAGATAACTTACTGTTTCTCACAGTAATAATTCTGTTTGCTGAAACTGCCTACCCTGTCGTTCTTCCTTTCAGCATCCTACCCCTTCTCCTTATTTTTCCAGAATTCTCTACAATTCTTTCCCACCACATTTTCTGTACAGAAAAAATGGAGAGTATTCAGAAAAAGAGAAGGAAGTAAATAGCACGATGAATATCCTTTACTTATTCATCAATGAATGGGTTTCAGTGCAATGGAATTAGGGGAAATTTAAAATCCACAACACCAGACCGTATACCTAAAGCAGCACACACATTCCATTGCATCTTTTACAATCTCGGTTCCTCTACCTCAGAGGTCTTCAAACTTGGCAACTTTTAAGACTTGTGGACTTCAACTCTGCTGGCTGGAGAATTCTGGGAGTTGAAGTCCACAAGTCTTAAAGTTGCCAAGTTTGAAGACCCCCATTCTACGCACTAATAATCATTTGTGTCTGAAACCTAAAACGTACCCTCTCCATCCACCTCAGTGGAAATCCATCTTACTACAAATACAGCAATACTTCTGCTGTTGTGACTTGAATGGTCTGAGCAAGCGCTGCCTGCAGTTCTTGTGGCAATCTCTTTGCACGTAAAATGCAACCCAGCCCAGCTGAAAGAGGTGATTGTCCCCAAGCCCCCTCTATAGTTAGCGGAGTAATGAGTTGCAGCAAAAGCAGCAGCCAGAAAGTTGCTGGAAGGCATGAGAAGTCTAGGAATGTCTCCTCCCTCTCGTAGAGCAGCCATGGGACATGTGGGAGGGATACACAATAATTATGCCATATTCTCCTCCTCCCCCACAGAGAAATATGTAAAGGAGGGTTTGTTCAATGCTCTGTGATCTGCTTAACTTCTTCTAAGCAAGAGAATTCACCAGTGTGCCTGTCCCCTTAGAAACATCTTCTCCGTGTGAGTCTGCATATGCCTCTATAGAGAGGACATGCTTTCGATTCCTTCTCAAAAGATAGTTTCATCTACCGGTCATTCTGGTAAGGATCTACCATTCCAAAGCGGTGGTCCGGTTTAGTTTGGATTCGCCATATGCCACAGGAAATCCTGGAAATCTATTTGTACTTCAGAAAGGATTGGGATAGAACAAGGTGCAATGCTCTCTGCTTTTTATGTGGTTTTTTTCTTCAAAAACAAATGGGCAAGCTGCCTCATGTGGGGTCTTTTATCAAGCAAGGAGTAAATGTGCGCCTGTGCATACATGTTTAGTAACCCTGGCTATTCTTATGTGTGTGGGGAGAAATTTGTTCTCCTTTTTTTTTCTACGGCTATCACAAATCCATCTTCATCCAAGCTGCTTCCTGAGGAAGCAGTAAAATTCAATAGAAGCCAGATGTTTTGGCAGTGCATTCCTGCTGTGCCCTCTTGCTCCTGAGAGATGGGAGGAAGAGAGGTCGAGTTCTGTGTTTGAAAGTCAGAAGAAGTAAGAACCTTTGTGAATACCCAGTCTTAAGACAGCAGCATCAAGGGAAAGGCACCAGGCCATAAAAAGTTACACCTGCCAACCCATTCCCTTCATATACTGTTCTGCATACAACCTTAAGGGAATATTGTTGCAGTAAGCTGTGTTCCCATTGTTTACAACAAAGAAACTCTCAGTTCCTGAGGATCAATGGCAGAGTTTGCCCCTATTGTTAGCAGAGTTAAGCAACTATCATAGGCCGCAAATATTGGTGGGCCCCCAGCCGCTTCCTCTAAGCCAGTGTTTCTCAACCTTAGTAACTTGAACATCTTCAAGTTGCCAAGGTTGAGAAACACTGCTCTAAGTTCTCTAGAGACAAGGACCAGAACACGTCCTATCACCTGTCTTGAACTTTTAAATTGACCTGGAACTTCAAGTGTGATGGAAAATACCAGTTCAATATATACCAGCCCAGTCCGTCTGTGCAGTTGGAATGTGTCTGGCTTATCCTGTTAACTTTTGCCTCAGGCAATAACTTCTCTCAGGCTGGCTCTTATCAGGCAACTTCCAAGTTTCATCTTAGAGTGCATGTTGTGCAAGGCGAATACATGTTAACATAATTTGGGCTGGCTATGTAAACTTGTTAAAGCCAAATGTGTCCTTCTGACCAAAAATATATGGGCTGTTGATGTATGTGAAAGATTTAAGGATAAGTGAGAAGCAGCTAGAGGATACATCCAGAAAATAAGTGGCAGGTGAACAGGATGCCTAGATGGGCAGTTTGGCCAGAAATATTATTACCTACAAAAGTGATTTTTAGGTAACATATTTCCTCTGACAGTTAACTAAAGTAGAGGTAGGGAACTATGGCCCCTTTATGACTTGTGGATTTCAACTCTTAGAATTCCTGAGCCAGCATGTCCACAAGTCATAAGAAGGCCATAGTTCCCCACCCCTGACCTAGAAAATGTCATCATCGCTGGAAAACTGAATGTAGTGTGACATCCATGGGAAACTTCCCCCAAAAGGTTGGCCTATGCAGTGTTCTGGTCTAAAGAGAGAAAGTCTAGGAGAGTCTAGGATTCAGGTCTAGGACCTCCAGGAGGTCCTAGACCTGAATCCTAGCTACATCTCAGTTACCAAGAGGAGGGAAATATTAGGCCACATTATAGCTCATATAGTATTTGGTAATATTTATGGAAATATTTTTTTATAACAGTATACTTTGATTCCAAATCTTTTGAGTGTTAGCGCTCACCAAAGGCTTAGTGTTTAGTGAGTGTTTACACTCAGACATACAGTATCTATAGCATAGTGGGAATATATTTCTTGAGCTTTTTATACCTTTTCACAACAACAAAAATCACAATCATATAGAATGAGAATTCAAAGGAGATGTAAACTATTATTACAAAGGGTATTTGTGACTATACAATTGCACTTTACAATGAAGAATAGTAAAGCGGATCCATTATCCAATTCTTAAATAAGAGGGAGTAGTATGCTTCCACACTAACAGTAACCATAACTTCCTTCCTTCCTTCATATTATTAATTGTTTCATTATCTTCTAAAATATAACATCTTTCTTTGCTGAACTTTTAGAAACTATCCAGGTTTCTAATTTGTTTCAAATACCCAACTTCAGAAATAAATTAATGCACATGTTTAATTGCTACAGTCTCCAGTTTTTACAATTAGGCCTGGAAAGTGCTGTCATGTTTGACTCCTCTTTCTTCATTCAGAAACCCATAATACTCCTCACTGTGAGTTAAGCCAGTAAATGAAGAATGGAGGAGTCAAGCATGGCAACATTTTCCAAGGCCTAACTGTAAGTGGAAAAAAGGGAAAGTCAAACAGATAAATTTATTCATTTCTGAAGAAAAGGCATTATTTGAGCCATTTGTAAAGTCCATCAGAGTAGAAAGGGAGAATGGATTAGTTATAAATAAAGTCATGATTTATAGCATATAGCAGTGGTTCCCAAACTTGGCAACTTTAAGACTTGTGGACTTCAACTCCCAGAATTCTCCAGCCAGCTCTGCTGTTTGGGAACCACTGGCATATAGGAAGTATTTAGGCCTACTGTAGTGTTATGCTGAAAAAATATCATCCAACCTTTGGGGGAATTTGTATTTTGTGGTCTGGATCTGCTTTATTGTTCTTCCCTGTATGAACATTAGACTTTGGATGTTGACAGTCAGGGAGCTTAGTGTTTCTTTATGTGAAGTGATATCTCAGGAATGATCAGTCTATGCATAGACGAGGCAAAATATATCTAGTTAGAGGTAAAAGATCACCATAATAATAATCATGGATACTGATCCCCACAACAATGAGACTTGGGTCCAGAATATGTATGAGTAAATATCTAATGTATATACCCATAACATATCTATCAGATTGCCATGGTTAGCTGTAAATAGTGATGTAGCAGTCTAAAATATACAAGTTTAAATAAATGGAACTAAATAGAGGTTAGGTCTTTTTACAGGTATGCTGTATGTTTGTTGGAGACTGTTTCTAATCAAAAAATGCTTAGATCCTGGGCCTGTATGCTTCTCCATGGCTCATTTGAAATGAATTTTCTTTCTCCAACCTGTGTATTCTTTTCCATTCATAGGTCTGTGAAAGCCACCTTATCTCTACTGTGTTCAGAGTTGAGGGCCGAAGGGGAGCCCAAGAAGAAAAAACGGAAAATATCAGAAACGACGTACAGTGGCATCAAAAGCTCCCAGGTGAGTATGCCTTAATAACCTGTTGCCTTTAGAAAAGCATATTCTTTTGGTGGTTTAAAACCAATGTGATATTCACATCAGCTATGAGGATTTAGGGTCCTGAGATGGACCAAGCTGGATGGGCAGATGCTCTTTTGGTAGATGTGAGTGGAATATTCACATCTTTTTTACATCTTACATTTTATGGCACACCTCTCCCCTGCTGTTTAATAGGATGAATTATGCTTATTTACCTTGCTTCAGAATTTGCATGGCGGAACTATGAAATACAAGTAAAAAAACTATGAAATACAAGTATAAAAATAACACTTGTTCTTAAGTTTTCCAGGAGGCTAAGGGAGCATTGGACATTGTTTTCAAGTAGTTTATTGCCTTAAAAAGAAGAAAAAGATTAACATTACTTGTTAGCATACAAGTTAGAAACTAGGTCCATGCAGATAAGACCATAAGGGTTCAGAATCTCACTGAGACAGCGTTAAACAAGATTCAGTTATAGTACATGTAGTATCCATTTTATCTATTAGTTAGCCATTTCTACTTTTGTGTTTTTTGCATAAGGGGTCCATTTTTATCTACTAGTTATAGGTGGTATCCAGTATTCTCACTATTATTGGTCAGAGGGTCAGATAAGATTTTTCAATCCTTTCCAAGTTCCCAATTCAAATATAGATTTCCCTCCTGAGCAAGAGGGAAGCAATAGTCAATACGTATTACTGTGTCTTTTCTACCATTTTTGCTTTTTTTTTTTTTGCAGGAGAAGGTTCGTTGCAAGAAGAGCAGTTCCCAAAGCAAGTTGGCTTCCACAGTAGTACACAAGGCCTCTCATCTCAAGCAGAAAGTCAAAAGCAAAGTCTTGCCCACGAGCATCGGTCCCTTCCGACGGAAAGAGCCTATCCCTTGCACCCGTATCCAGAAGAAACTTTCTCGAACCAAGAGCTCCAAAGCTGCATCTCCCAAATACCCACAGCAGGATCTCACTCCCTTGGAGGCCAAGCCTAGCCCAGGAAATGCTGAAGCAGGTACATTCAGACTGAAGGTCTATGGAGATTTTCAACCATCCAGGTCATGGTTGACTGAGAGGTGCTTTTCCAAAAGGCAACTGGAGTTTCTTGGGGTTTTTTTCCCTTTGAAAACGTTTCGCTTCTCATCCAATTAAAAAGAAGCTTCTTGAATTGAAGAAGCTTCTTGGGCGAAAAGTGAAGGAGGAGGAAAAAAAACCAAGAAAGTCCAGCTGCCTTTTGGAAAAGCACCTTTGGGACATTCAGATTGAAGGGAAGGATCATTTGGCACCTGGGAAGGAAAGTTGATAATGGGAAACAAGAGAATGCTATTCACAACCCTGCAGTTGTGAGCATGTTCTGTCTATTGCTGCTAAAAGAGGACTTGGGACAAGGGATGTTTACCTGCATAGCAAAAAGGGATTAGTGTCCAATGGATATTTTCTGAGCTCCAGGCCAGTTAACAGGCCTCCCAGGTATTCATCTCTCCACCGTGCCACTGAGGAAGTACAAGTACAATTAGCTTCTCCCAGGGCCCATTCCCAGGCAAATCCACCCTTCTACAAAGCTCTTATCTTCAGCTCTGGTGAGGAGCTTGCCACATAGTATATTTCCTGCTGGCAAGCAGAAGGAAGCTCTGAAATTTAAAAATAGCTGCGCATGATGTCCTCTAGTGGGGCCAATGTCCGCTCTCATTTGACTGCAGGCTTATGGCTTCCCCTGAAGCTCCTGGGGCATCTTATCAGGAAAGCAATGCTGAGACAGAAATCCTGCTTCCACTCCCCCAAAGCCAAAAGAACAAAGGCTCATTGTCAAAGGGTCAAGAATCAGGATATAGAAGCCAGGATTGGAAGGGGGGTGGTTTATAGGCAGTTCAGTTGGGAGGCTGACGTCGAAGGAGGGAATAGCTCGGCCAAAACATTATTCAGAGTTCTCGGATTGTTGGCTGGATTTTTTTAATAACCTTTACTCCACTATTTTTAGTCATCATACCGATGCAACTTTACCAATCCTTACACGCCAGGCCTTGCAACAATAACCAAAGCCAATGAGTCCTAAGTGGGGCATTGATATGAGGGTCACACTACCAGCAGAGATTGATTTGAAAAGCCTCAATCCACTCAATAGCTTTGTGTTGAGCTATTACCCTTAAAAACAATGCAGTGATGGCCTTGGTTTTACTTTGATGGTTGCAATAAGTGGTCTATGATGTTGGAATGATGAAACAAAGTATCAGAATCCTCATCTTGGAAGTGGCCCCCTTTTTCTCCCTCTTGCCTCAATTTGTCTTGACTCTCCTCCTCATTTACAGATGACAATCACCACAGAGACTATGAAAGTGACGATGGTGGCGGCGGCGGGGATGATAACTTGACAAGTGACAACAGCTCCCCCATTCATGTAACAGTGAACCCTCCTGTAATTGGCCCTTCTCCTTCCTCCGTGGTGAAAATGGAGGCCAATCAGAAAGCAAAGAAGAAGAAGGAGAGGCAAGGCTTGCTAGGTAATGAAATGAATTGAAATAAAGCTCTTTTTGGTGAATTGCTGAATCTATTCCAAGTTGATGAAGGGGAAGGGCAATGGAGCCTCATGAACAACCATGAAGAAATGGCTGAAATTATATCCAGCCCTTCCACCTACTATCATATCATTTTGTTTGATATGCCCTTGAGGGTGGATGTAAGATGGCAGTGAAAGGTCTTCCTGCAACCCACCCTTTCTAAGTTACCACTGCATCTTCCCTTTCAGTTAAAGGGGCAGATTCTGCTATTACATGCTGAGCCCCAATTCGTTTTTTTAAAAAATGAGAGCATTGGCTAGTCTCACAAATTGCTAATTGAGAAGACTCTACTCAAAATTGGCCTAATAACATTACACTTGCCTGAAGTGGAGTCCACGTAAGCAAAATGAAGCACTGGCTTATCCACTGAGGCTTTTTTTTTTCCTGTTCCGTTTTGCGTATTTTTTTTCTCACTGCTATAATCTCTGGATCTCCCTAGGGCCCTATCGAATCCCCAGTCCCGAAGGCCAAGTGAAAATAAAGAGGCGGCCAGTGAAGCCAGGCTTAGGGAGGTTGGAAAAGGTGCCGGTGTGCCGAGCGGGATCTTGTGAGAATTCTAGCAAGAAAAAACTCAAGAGTAAGGCCAAGGAGTTTCACTGTGGACCTGGAACGTCAAGCACCGCCGAGGGGCTCTTCTCCAGCATCCAGGCCCGCTCATTTGCAAATCGTGACGATGCAGGAAAACTCAGCAGTGAACGCCTCAAGAAAGCCACACGCAAGAGCAAAGTCCTGCAGTCGGCCCTCAGGGTAAGCTGGACAGAAAAAGGGGCTGGATGTGGTCCTCAGTGAAGGAAGGATGGTGATGATCTGTTTTGGGAATCCAGGGGTAAAATCCAGCAGGTTCTGACAGGTTCTGGAGAACTGGTAGCAGAAATTTTGAGTAGTTTAAAGAATTGGTAATGGAAATTTTGAGTAGTTTGGAGAACTGGTAAATGCCACCTCTGGCTGGCCCCAGAATGGAATGGGAATGGGGATTTTGCAGCATCCTTCCCCTGCCACGCCCGCCACGCCACACCCACAGAGCCGGTAGTAAAAAAAATTGAATTTCACCACTGGGTACACTGGGTAACAGCAGACCTTCCTCAACACAACCTGAACATAACTGATATCATGAAGGGCCACTAAGAAAGAGGAAAAGGTCTTCTTTGCAGTTGTAACCGTCAACTGAGCTACATGGTAGTATGGTAAATATTTGTCCGCTGCATGTTGTATTTGATTGTTTTATCTTTATTTTCTTTGGGCAGAGAAAAAATGGAGCACTGACCCTCTCTCCTCGCAATGCCAAGGCCATCCTCAGCAAGGGCAAGAAGCTGTCTAAGGTTAAGAGCAAGGTGGTCAGCAAGCAGGTAGGAAATGTGAAATACCTGCTGTAATGCAGGTTTTGGATAGGTCAGATACGGCTGACCTTTTATTACTCAGAATAAAAGAGGCAAGCAGATGGCCTCTCTCCCTCGGGACATTTTTATTGTGTATTGGCAGTGGTGCAAATCATTTTTTTTAAATATAAAAAAAGAAATAATTGAAAAGTAGTACAAAGACAGTCTGTGAAATTGTAGCAGTTTCATCCCTGAAATCTCATGAGATTTCAATTCTCTTATGGGAAAACTTCTGTCAGTGGGTTACTGTGTGGTGTGTGGGTGCACAAAATAATAGCTCACTTGTAGACGTTTTCAGATTAGAATATGCATGCGGACGGGGCCCTGCAGAGCCTATGCAAAAGTCTCACTGGCATAGCATCCTGCCCCTTTTATTCCAAGCTAAGCCCTTTTTAGTCAAAGGCCAGAGTAATGCTATGGGCTAGGAATGAATTGAGGCTGGGAGAGACTTTGGTTTCATCCATTCCTGGCCTAGCCAGTTTGACATCAGTCTTGTGCATAAGAGGCCTGCCTTTGTAAAACAAGGAAATCTATTTTGCTTTGCTGTGCAGTGCAAAGGCCGGGCAGTCAGTCGACTGATGGAGAGTTTTGCCATTGAGGACCATTTTGAGTTTGATGACAATAGCAGCTTCTCTGAAGAGGAGGAGATGACCCCCACTGGTGCAGAGGAAGATATGACCTCCGGTAAGTCTCCGCAGAAACCATGACCAAAGAGTACCCTTGGGTGAAGCAATTAACAAGGCCTAGTATAGCCCAGGTGAAAGAATTACTATTAATGCAAAAGTCAAGAACAGAAATAAACAAGGATAATGATGAGAAGAAGCATTAAGAGATGAAATATGGTGGGATTGTATAGTTCCTAAAGTGAACTCTGAAGGAAAGAGCTCAGAAAATTGAAGTGGGGTTGTGCAGATCAAAGCTGGACGGTGCAGTGTGGTCCATACTTCAGGCTTGAATTCTTCAAGCTTTGACCCCTGCCTGAAGTTTCCAAATATAAAAACAGAAGTGGAAGAGAATTAACCGTGGATTCATGGCTTTGTCTTGCGGTTGCAGCCCAGTCTTGTACCATCCTCAAAGAAGATCTCCAGGATGGATTGCGTGTGCTTATCCCCAAAGAAGACAGTCTGCTCTACGCTGGCAATGTGAAGAGTCTGCAGCCACCTGACATGTAAGGACCTGATTCCTATGCATAAATTTGGACAAAGGATACCGTAGCGAGATTTTTCAAGATCAGTAAGGCTTCATTGCTGTTGATACTGTACAATGCATCCATCACTTAGAATTGTAGGCATTTCCTTTTTTACCATTCCCTTCTATCCCTTATTATCCCACATCTCTCTAATGCTTATAGACAATTGCAGTAACTGATTACAAGAAACCCAGGTACTCCCTTCTTACAATAATTAACCCAAAGGCACCTACTGCAATATTAATCATTCTGGTTCCTCATCTGCAAATAGAGTTAATTGGTGATTAATTCTCTACCCTATCCTCTCCCAGATCAAATCCTGGGCCTTCTTCCTCTTCTTTTCATTAATCAGAATGAAAAATACATTTGTTCAAGATCCCATCTGGTTCCAAGGACTGAGTCTGGAAAGACTTGCATCCTGATTCCTCTTCCTTATGAGTTTTTTGTATGATCTTGGGCAAACTATTGCCTGTCTTCATTTAAAAAAAAACTGTAGTATGCATGGAAGTCCAAGCATTTTGCTGGATCTAAAGTCTAATTCATGGGAAGTATTCCAACACAATTCTCAGGGGGTGGGGGGATCTGAAAGTAAATCCTACTGAATTCTGTGAAACTCAGGGCAAAGCATGAAATTGTGTGTGTTAGCACTATTTAGTGCTCTTACTCATAGGGTTGAGGAGTTACAACTCAGCACATCTGGAGAGTAGAGTGGTGTAACATTTCTTTTTTCTCACATTTTAAACATTTATATACTTAACACTCTTACTGATCTGGGAACTCAATAGTCAGAACTATTGAACTTCCATTGTGCTGTGCTAGTTCAAAAGGGAGGACTCTTGCCAACCAGGAATTGAGCTTCTTGTTGTTAAATAACTATTGAAATTAACCAAGCTAGCTTCTCCTCTATCCCTTCAGATCGTCATCTGTGTAAATGCTTGTCACTTATTTGTTCCACAGCTACAGCATTGTCATTGAGGGAGAGCGAGGGAACAGGCAGAGAATCTATTCCCAAGAGCAGCTGTTGCAGGAGGCGGTAAGTCTCAGGAGATCAGAGCCTGTGATTAATCAGGCTGGCTGTGGGCATGGGCAGGGGGAGAGAAGCTGGACTCTCAAGAGTAATACCTGTAGGACTTACTCGAGGGATGGGGAGCAGAAAGTGTGGCTTTCTTTTGCAAATGTGCATGGATTTGCTACACCAGATTATTTCTAGTAAGCTTGCTCATTTAATGACCCTAATTGGGACCAGAATTTCCAGGACTAGAAGAAGGAGTCGTTAAGTGAAACATCATGCCACTACACTGCTTAGTAGTGGCAATCCTTGTTATGATTGTTAGGCAAGGACTTCACACTTTTGCCTTGTATGAAGGGCCAACTCCATCCTCTGCCTTCTCCCTGGCTTGGCCCAGAGAGTTCCCTTTGGCAGCCAAGGCACCACTACCCTGCTGTGGCCACCCTCCAACTCCCCCTCCCCACACCCACACACCTGCCTATCTACCCACCATCTCTACTCTTTGGGTCACCCTCCAGCACTGCCACCTACCCCTGCAGCCCCCATCTGATTTCAGCCAAGGCTGCTGCTGGCCTTTCGCAATGTTTCACAGAGACATCAGAGAGGGTCAGCAGCTGCCATGGCTGATTGTATCTCCTCAAAAGATATAGAAGATGGTGAAGGTAGATTGGGGGCTGCAAGGAGTATCAGGGTAAGCAGTGGGGTGCACGGCGACCAAAAGGGCAGAAATTTGGAGAAATAGGTGAGATGAGAGGAGTTGAAGGATAACTACCTTTTGTTCAGTTATTGTAACTTCATAGTCATTAAGTGAACACTACCAGGAATAAGAGAACTTGGAATGGTCATGCTTTCTGGATAGTAGGGATTTAGGTAGGTTGCAAAAAAAAAAAATCTGAGAAGAATACAACTATAAGATGTACATTCAAATGAATCAAGTTGGCCTAATTGACCTGTCTTCTAGAACTGCTGATCCTCCACAGCTGGTGGGAGCAATCATGGGGCCTATATGACTTGTAGTCACATCCAGTATCTTGAATGTCTGCGGAGATTCTTAATCATCCAGGTCACGGTTGTCCCAAAGGTGCCTTTCCAAAAGGCAACTGGGCTTTCTCGGTGGTGTTTTTTCCCCCCTTTGAAAACGTTTTGCATCTCAGAACTGAAGAAACTTCTTGGATGAGAAGCCAAACATTTTCAAAGGGGAAAAAAAAACAACCACCAAGAAAGCCCAGTTGCCTTTTGGAAAAGCACCTTTGGGGCATCCAGAGTTTTGGGGGACAGGATATTTATGCACACTTCTGTGAATTGACTTGTGAACCATCCTGTGCATATAAGTATAGAGAGAGATGCAGGCCTCTCATTTCCCAGATGCATCCTTTGAGAAGACAATCTTGCACTCTCAGATATAGTCAAATGCCAAGAAGTTCCTGCACAGAGCACTTCAACCCGTTGCACAGAATAAAGCATAAAAACCAAGACCCGGAATTTGGTTGTAAATACTCTTAATTAATATTTATACCCATGAAATATCTGAAAAACATAGA